GCACGTGGGTGTTCCATGGCTGGGCGCCTCCAGCAGAGGGCATTCCAGCGCGGGACAAAGACGACCCGAGCACGTGGGTGTTCTACGGGTGGAAGGAGAAGCGCCCATGGGTGAACCATCAGAAGGGGCAGGGTAGTGGTGAGAGCGAGAGCAAGGTGAACGCAGAGGAAGTCCCGATCACTGTGAGTGCGGAGGAAGTCCCGATCATTTCAGACGGTGAGGGGGGATCTGACCTGAACAGGAGGTTGAGAGGTCGAGGCAACCACCACCAGCTTACAAAGCATGTCTGTGAAGTTTTTATCGTCAGAAGCTGGTGCTGCGCAGACGTGAGTATCCCATGCAGGACCAGAGGACCTGGGAAAAAAAGAAAAAATCGACGGTTCAGTTGGTTCAGATGTGATGCGAGGAGAACTATTCTCGAGGGGGGGGGGGCCGTAGCGCCCAATTGGGTGGGCACGATCCCTTAAAGGCGACGGAGCGTGCCCCCCCTCGAGTCTTGCACGTATGTCTGTGTCTTCACACACGGGCCCTACCGACGGTCGGATGCAGGGGAACAGAAGGCAACGCCCACGACCACCCATCCCAGCCCCAGATCTGAGTAGGAGGATTTTTTTTATTTTTTTTTAGAACCTGTCTGAGTGGAGAGAGTGGGGAGGGAGGAGGAGTGGGAGGAGGAGCCGCGCGCGCGGCGCCCCGCCGCGCTGGGCTACGTGGGCTACGCAGGCGCGCCCCGCTGGCGCCGCCCCCCCCCCCCCCCCCCCCCCTCGCCTCTCCTTCTTGGGTGTGTGTGTGTGGTGTGAGTGGTGTGGGCGTGTGTGTGCGGTTCCCCCCCTCTTCTCACCGAGTGTGTCACCCCTTGCCCTGGGGCTCAGGGCACGGCTCTCGTGATGAGCCCTGCCCTAGCCCCCCAGCTGTCGAGTGAGGGAGGCACCCAGCTCCCTGCGCGAGGCCCACCCCCACGAGTATGTTCCTGGGGAGTGCGCCTAAGGCAGGCCTAGGCGACCAAGAAATTGGTCCCAGGCCCATGCATCCATATACGTCGCAGGGATACTATTAGAGCTCGCTGCCGCTGCCGCTGTAGCCGTTCTGACTCATCCCCGAAGCGCCTTTGCCTTTGCCTTTTGCCTCCTCCACCTCCTCCTCCTCCTCCTCCTCATTCTTCTCCTCCTCCTCCTCCTCCTCCTCCTTCTCCTCCTCCCCCTCCTCCTCCCCCTCCCCCTCCCCCTCAGACGACCAGGCGTCCGACGTCTTGATCTTCCACAACGTGGCTCCTCGGAGTTCTGGATCCTACAGGGCGACGAGATGTTATACACATGCACTGGTCCCTGCCAACCCGAGCCCAGCAGCGGTGCACGCGCCGCGCCCTCCTGGCTTGGCCAGGAGGGGCGCGCGCGCAGTTGCTGGCTTCAGGATGGGCCCAGCCAAGGAGCAGTGGATCTGTAGAGCTCTCGTCGCCCGAATCCTAGGCCCCCTACACGGGGTCGGAGGATCGCGCCGCGTCGCCGATCCATCGCCGATGCATCTCGATGTGCAGCCCGATTCGCTTCACGTCGACGTCGCCGAGGCATCGCCGAAACATCGGCGATGCATTGGCGATGCGGCGTAATCCTTCGACCCCAACTACTCCGACCCCATCTAGGAGGCCTCTATCCTCAGAGGTCTGGATCCTTCCCCAGGGTTGTCTTCTCGTCTTGTGTGGTCATAGTTTGACCGTCCCGGGGCTCGGGAAGGGCCCCCTCGCAGCCCCGAGCTACCAGAACCCTTGGCCGTGTTACCTTGCGCGAGGATGCGATGTCAGGGGGTGACGAACGGCCATCGAAGACGGCGACGAACGGCGAGCGGCGACGGCGACCAACAACGAACGACGAATGCCCGACGGCGAACGACGAGCGACAACGGCGACGAAGGAAGAGCGACGATCGGAGGGCACCAGTTCTAGACCCTCACGGATCCTGGCGAGAGGCCGAACTTGGGGCCCAGGATCTCGGTAACAATTTTTTGAGAGCGTTGTATGCCGTCCAAATTTCGTCTTCGGCGTTGGTTAGCAATGAGTGGCGTCTGGTAGTCCATCGGTTTAGCGTCCGTTAGCGTCGATGAGCGTCACTTTAGCGTCGATCATCGTCGATTAGCGTCGACTAGCCTCGGCCAACAAGATGGTATGAGAAGCTCCCGCGAGTTGCCACCGAGGGATCCCAGACCCCCGACGTCGTGTTTTTTTTTTTTTTTTTTTTTTTTTTTTCATGACGCGGACCCCTAAATTTCTGGACCCCTCCATGGGAAAAGGCTTTTCGTCCCGCGACGTTTCCTGACGGCCCCGAGGCCCGCTAAAAGGGCCCCTGTGTGCCCAAATTTGGGGGAAGCACGTTCCGTCGTGACTCTTCCACGACGCGCGGGGGTGTTTGGGATTGGTGCAGGTGTATGCGGTCGGGAATTCTAGGAGACTGTCGCCCCGCCGGTTCTAGCCCGCCACGCCTCGGTCGGGGCTCCAGAGACGGGGGTCGATGCAAACGGGGGTCAGCCAGGGCGCCAGATCTTGCGGGATCCTGCAGGGTCAGGGTCTCACTGGCCCGGGTCTGGGTGCAGGATCCTGCAGGGTCCTTCGCATTGGCCCGGGTTCGCCGACCAGGGTCTGGATCAACCCGGGTCAGAAGATCCCCGACTCGGCGCGGCACGATATCCACGTCCCGGCCCCCGGTGTCAACGTCCCGAGCTTTTCTCAGGGCGCCAGGCACGGGGGCACAGCAAACGGGGGTACGGGGGACGCCGATTTCCGCGATTTGGCTATGCCCCCGTTTAGGGGGCCCTGGGCGCCGTAAACGGGGGTACAGTAAACGGGGGTATATGGAAAAGCCTAACCCCCGGTGAGTTAAACTCCCGTTTACGAAGCCCCGATTTTCCGAGCCTCCCGCCCGGCGGAGCAGAGCAAACGTTCCCCCGAGCGTCCTCGCGAGGGGCCCGTTGATACCAGCTGGGGCTGCCTAGGGGCGGGGGCTGTCTCTGATGGGCCTGTCTTCCACCACCACAACAAGTTGGAGGGGGAGGGGGTCCTCCTCCTCCTCCTCCTTCCTCCCTCCAACTTATTGTGGTGGTGGTGGTAAACAGGCCATTCAGTCTCTGCGCAGCCTGGAGCCTTACCAGTCATGACATGATATTGCCGCCGATCCTGAAGCGGGACAACGACGACGACACGACGTCCGATGATAGTGGCGGCGGCGGCAACAACAACAACAACACCAACAATCACTTTAGGACTGTTTGCTCTCATTGGCACGCGTGTCTTGCATTCTGTATACCCCAACCCTCGATACCCGCTCACTTCGTCTTCGATCGCACCCCCCTTCGGGGGGAATGTCTTCCTTGTCGGCCATTGACTGCAATGCGAGGAACTCTCGAGCGAGAGCGCTGTTCCTGAGTTCGGGGGCCTCTCTGGCCAGGGTCTCTCGGAATACATATTGAAAAATATCGAACGGGAGCCCTTGTCGCCGTGTCTGGGATTCCACCAAGTTGCCTGAAATGCGAGGAAGTCTCGAGCGAGAGCTCCACTCTTGAGTTCGGGGGCCTCTGGCCACGGCCTCTGCGAGTACATCTTGAGGGAGTATCGAACGGGAGCCCTTGTCGTCGTCGTTGGGCCTCCACCAATTTGCCTGAATTGCGAGAAAGTCTCGAGCGAGAGCGCCGTTCATGAGTTCGGGTGACTTCCTGGCCAGGAGCTCTCGGAGTAAATCGTGAGGAAGTATCGAGCAGGAGCCCTTGTCGTCGTGGCTGGGCCTCCGCCAACTTGATTGAATTGCGAGGAAGACTCGAGCGAGACTCGCTCCTGAGTTCGGGGTCCTCTCTGGCCAAGGTGTCGAGGGGTAGATTGTGAGGAAGTATGGAGCGGGAGCCGTTGTCGTTGTAGCCGGGCCTCCAAGGGCACACTTTTACACTCGGGCCAACGCTCGCGCGGGAGCCTCTTTTTCAGAGAAAATGTAGCCGGCGTCGAGGCGAGAGCGCGCGGAACCGTTTCTGGAGATCAATCCAATCATATATATATATATATATATATACATTATCTAGAAATGAGTACTCGACAGCAACAACAACAACAGCAACACAAACAATCATGTTTAGACTGTTCGCTCTTACTGGCACGCGCGTCTTGCCTTCCGTATACTCCAACACTGAATACCCGCTCACTTCATCTTTGATTGGACCCCAGGGGAAATCTCATCTCAGCCATTGACTGAAGTGCGAGGAAGTCTCGAGTGAGAGCGCCGTTCCTGAGTTCGGGGGCCTCTCTGGCCAGGGGCTCTCGGAATACCTATGGAGAAATATCGAAAGGGAACCCTTGTCGCCGTGTCCGGGCCTCCACCAACTTGCTTGAATTACGAGAACGTCTCGAGCGAGAGCGCCGTTCATGAGTTCGGGGGCCTTCTTGGCCAGGGGCTCTCGAACAAAATCGTGAGGGAGTATCGAGCAGGAGCCCTTGTCGTCGTGGCTGGGCCTCCGCCAACTTGATTGAATTGCGAGGAAGTCTCGAGCGAGAGCGCCATTCCTGAGTTCGGGGGCCTCTCTGGCCAGGGCGTCTCGGGGTAAATTGTGAGGAAGTATCGAGCGGGAGCCGCTGTTGTCGTAGCTGGGCCTCCAAGGGCCCACATTTAGGCTCAAGCCAACGCTCGAGCGGGAGCCTCGTATTCAGAGAAAATGTAGCCGGCGTCGAGGCGAGAGCGCGCGGAACCGTTTCCGGAGATCAACCATAAGTCATTCTTTAGACATGAGTATTCATCAACAACCGCCACCAATAGTAACAACAGCAGCAGCAGCAGCAGCAAGACGCTGACGATGACGACGACGATGACGATAACGTTGACGTTGACGAAGACGACGAAGACAACGACGACGACGACGACGACGACGACGAGGACGAGGACGACGACAACGACGGCGGCGGCGACGACGACGACGACGGGCGATCGGCCAACGATGCTGGCGGCCTCGCAGCAGGCGCCCCGCGCTCCCAGGACCGGGCGCGCACGCCCTCGCCGGAGCCGTGCTACGAGAGGCCAGCGGGTGCCCGGGCCCGATGGGGGCGAGGCGCAGAGGTGTGGAAGGCGATTAAATGGGGAGGGAGCGTGCTGCCAAGTAATTTCCATATGTCTAAAGCAAGCAAGACGCCGTGTGTCCAAAAGGCACTTGAGCAATACTCTTATTGAGCCACATCCGCAGCCTCGAGGTGAGGCAAGGCGGGCCGAAAACGAGGAGCGAGAGGGAAAGGAGAGAGGAGGGGGAGGGAGGGGACGAGGAGCGGAGGGAGACGGAGAAGAAGGAGCCAGGACGGCGGACTGGCGAGAGCCAGAAGCAGAAACACATCAGCAGGATTGGCTGTAGTTCCGCGCTGCTCGTCTCCACGTGGTCGCCGGGATGGCGGCTATGTTAGACCAGTCGAAGCCACTATGTACACATGCGCGAAAAGCGTGCCTGTGTAACTCTCGGGTCCACGCCGCGCGGGGCCGGCCTCGACCGCGACGCGCAGGCGGGTCGTGAAGCTCAACAGTCGACGGCTTGAACACAATGCTCCGCACAGGGTGGCCGTCGCTCATCCGCGCAATTCTCCCGAACAGAACTAACTGGCGCTCTAATAGCACACTGCTCAGCTTGCTTTGCCTCGCTCTGCTGAGAACAGTATGGTTGGCAACCCGGCTTATGTACGAATGCGGGATGTGTAAAATCTTCCTCAGACAACGTGCTTGAAACGCATCAATTGTTAGACAGTTCTGCCGCTGTCAGCCAAATGGTGTGGACGGTGAACAACAGCTTGGACACCACGCACGCATTGAAGATCTTGATCTTTTTCGCTGGCGGGAGGCTGGAGTGAGACCACACCTTGTCCAGCTTGTCAAACTCGGCCCTTGCAGCCCCCCACCGCCTCGCGAGCTCTGCGTCGGAGGCTCCAGAGGAAGACAGCACTCTGCCGAGATAGACAATGTTGTCCTTTTGGGTAACCATGCTCCCGTCTGGCTTCTCGATGTTTGTATCTCCGCCAATGGGCAGCAGCTTGAGCTTGCGCCAACTATACTTCAGCCCGTAATTGGCCCCGGCATCTGCGATGGCCCGCATGTACTCGGAGGCCCGGCCCTGGTCTGCGGTCACAATTAATGTGTCGTCCGCGTAGACGAGGTCTCTGACATTCGATCCATCATGCCCCCTCGTGCGCCTAGCGTCTGTCATTAGCACGGTCATCAGCATGGCAAACAGGAGAGGTGACAAAGGGCAGCCTTGGCAAATGCCTGCGCTTAAGTTAGGTCCCGCATGGCTGATGTCTGCCCAGCGTCGCGAACCGCGAAACGGCGATCGGTGTAGATCGCGCCCACCGCGTCGAGCATCTTTTCTGGCAGGCCAAAAAGTCGCAACGCACGTGGGAGTGCCGCTGGGTCCACGCTATCAAACGCCTTCGCCCAATCCAGGGCAAGGAAGATCAGCTTGGCGCCCTTTGACTCCCAGGCTCCGTCCAGAAGCCGCCGGGCCATGAATATGGCATCATTGGTGCCGCACTTGGATTTGAATCCGAACCAGACGCCCTCCTCGGCGCCTGCGGCTTTCAAGCGCTGGAGGAGTATGGAGGCGTATAGCTTGTACCCTGACTGTAAGAGGCAAATCGGCCTGTAGTTTTCACATAGCGACTCGTCGCCCTTCTTGAAAATGGCCGCCACTAGGGACTCGTGCCACGATTCGAGCACAACCCCCTCATCCCAACATTTCTGGCACAAGGCGGTGGCCCACTGGGCTGCGGGAGACCCGGGCGACGCCATGGCCTTCCAGAAATCGCCCGGCACTAAATCAGATCCACAAGCTTTGCCCCACTTCATCCGTTTAGCTGCTGACGCAATCTCGGCTTCAGTGATGGGCCCAAGGTGGACAGGTAGAATTGGCCCCGGGGGCTCGAGTCGCATGGCCGTGGTCTAAAACATGTTTTAGATATGTAAAAGCATGTTTGAAACGTTTTTAGAACATGTTTCTTCACATGTTGAACACATCTCTAACTCAATGGTAAGATTGTGAGAGTGTCCATTGACATGGCATCCACAAGCGCAGAGGGGGGCATCATGGCGCCAGCATCGCAGAGCGGATTCCGCTTAGAAAATCATGGGATGGGCCCGGACTGTCCTGGAGAATTTCGCTCCGGATTCCGAAGGGAGTTTCTTGGTTTTTTTTCTTGACCAAGAATGAAGTCTACAGCAAATCCACGTGAAATTCACGCCGTTTTTGTGTTCGCCGTGTCGGGGTCTTGCATGGACTGAAATCCACGCATCAATCCGCTGCAGCACGTCTGCAAGGTCGGTGCAGCGAAGAGGGGTTTCGGGGGAAGGCGCCAGGCTCCTTAGAAGCAGCCCTGCTCCTTAGGAGGCGCGGGTCTTGTCTGTAGATGGGGCCTGCGTTTTCTAAGAAGCAGGCTCCCTCTAAGAAGCCCTCCCGTTTGCGCGCGGCCAATGCATGTATGAGAGACCCTTCCTTCGCTGGAGTTCAGAGGAGGAAAAGGTACCCATACCGCTACCCTTCAGTCGGGCCTGCCCCTCTACAGGAGAAATATTCAAAAATAGTAAAATATTAGTCTGGGGACGATTTTTTCACTACTCTTGAGCATGTTTGGGATTTGTTTTGCCATTTTTATTTATCCGTCCAAGATCTGCCTGCAGGGAGACACGCCCGACCTAACGCTACCCTTCCCTCGTTTTGTCGTGTTGGGCCTCCTGGGAGGCCCTCGTCGCCACCGCTGGATTCGCCTCGAAATGCTGGTCAGAACGCTCCCTGGGAGAGGTCCGCGGGGAGTAGCGGTATCAGTTCCTTTTGGCATCATTAGGGGTGTCTTTAGGTGCGGGCCTACTGGGGTATCCCGATCGCGGAACGCGATGCGATAGTAGCGTTTTGCGCGCGTGGGGTTGGCCCCCACGCGGCCCCCCGAAAGCCGCGCACCAAAGGTCATTTTTGCCTAGGCTCATTCTTGCGTGTAGCCCAGATGGGGAATTGCGACACGGGGACCTTCGGCGGCGAGCGAGGGGCGGAAGTGAGAAGGAGAAGGCCTTCTCAGAAGGCGGCGGGACTTCTCAGAAGCCTTCGCGCCTTCTGAGAAGCTTTCTGTGTCTTCGGGGAAGGTTTGGAAAACTTCTCAGAAGGCCTGGGGACTTCTGAGCCTTCTGAGAAATCCTCCTCCTTCTTACGCCCCCCTGTCGCTCGCCGCCATTTTTTCGGGGGTTCTAAGAACATGTCAGGTGGGCCCACAGGAATGCTCGGTGACAGAGTGCCTCCACCAGATAGCCCTCATATAGTCAACGCGCCTAGTAAGGACGTGCGCCTTCATACGGGGCACCCTTGTATCCTTGCTTCTGCGGTCCGTCCATTGCCGTTTTCACTGGTCGCCCGCCGCACGAAAAACGGAACTTTGGCCTTCAGGGGTCTTGCGTTCTTACCACCTGTTCTCAATGCACGTTTCGAGGGGGGGATGGGAGGTTCCAGGGTCTCTGAGACACCGGGAGGGGGGATGATGATGATGCTGATGATGATGATGATGATGATGATGATGATGATGATGATGATGATATGATATGATGATGATGATGATGATGATGATGATGCTGCTGATGCTGACGCTGATGTTGATGCTGGTGATGATGCTGATGATGATGATGCTGGTTATGATGATGGTTGTGAGGACGATGATGATGCTGATGATACTAATGGTGCTGATGATGATGATGATGCTGATCACGATCATGACGATCATGCTGGTGATGGTAGTGATGGTGATGCTGATGCTGACGATGATGCTAGTACTATTGATGATGATGGCGATGATGCTGATGATGATCCTGATGCTGATGGTGATGCTGCTGCTGCTGATGATGATGATGATGATGATGATGATGATGATGATGATGCTGATACTGATGCTGATGATGATGATGAGGATGTAGATGATGCTCATGATGCTGATGCTGATGCTGATGATGCTGCTGCTGATGCTGATGCTGATAATGCTGATGCTGATGATGATGACGAGGAGGACGAGGAGGAGGAGGATGGAAGGAGGGAAGGAGGGACGTAGGGACGTAGGGAAGGTGGGAGGAAGCGAGGATTGATGGATGATGATGCTGACGATGATGATGATGATGATGATGATGATGATGATGATGATGATGATGATGATGATGCTGATGATGATGCTGATGATGATGATGATGATGATGATGATGAACGATGACGATGACGATGATTATGATGATAATGATGATGATGCTGGTGATGATGGATGATGGTGATTATGATGATGATGATGATGCTGATGATGATGCTGATGCTGCTGCTGATGACGATGATGATGATGATGCTGCTGACGATGATGATGCTGATGCTGATGCTGCTGATGATGATGATAATGATGCTGATGCTGCTGATGATGATGATGCTGATGATGATAATTATGCTGATGATGATGATGATGATGCTGATGCTGATGCTGCTGCTGCTGATGATGATGATGATGATGATGACGATGATGATGATGATGATGATGATGATGATGATGATGATGATGATGATGATGATGATGATGCTGATGATGCTGATGATGATGGATGATGATGATGATGATGATGATGATGATGATGATGAAGATGCGGAGGAGGAGGAGGAGGAGGAGGAGGCAGAGAGGAGCAGGAGCAGGAGCAGGAGAAGGAGGAGGAGGGAGGAGGGAGGGAGGAGGCGGAGGGGGGTGAGGGAGGAGGGAGGGAGGGAGGGTGGGCGTGAGGGAGGAAGAAAGGAAGAGAGAGAGGGAGGAGAGAGAGGGAAAGAGAGGAGAACGAGAGAGAGAGAGAGATGGAGGAGGCGGAGATGGGCGGGAGGAAGAGGAGAGAGGGACGGAGGGAGGGAGGGAGGGAGGGAAGGAGGGAGGGAGGGAGGGAAGAGGCTGAGGAGGAGGAGGCGGAGGAGGAGGAGGAAGAGGAGAAGGATGAGGACGAGGAGGAAGAGGTGGAGGGAGGAGGGAGGGAGGGAGTAAGGGAGGGAGGG